TTTTTATTTTTCGAAATTTCATAAAATTAAATAAGTGGCGAGGGTTGTTACAGATGTAAAAATTGTATTTTTATCAAGATTTTCTAAAAAAATATTTCACAAATTTCATTCATTTTAGAATAAGTTCTGAAAATTTCATTAAAACCCTATACTTATTTGATTTTTGCAAGAATTTCCCAAAACAATGTTCGTTTGTTTTCTTTTTGTTTTGTTTTTTTTTAATTTTGTTTTTTATCTGAAAAAAGGCGGTAATTTTCCCACGGTAATCATTGGCTATTGGAGACGGAAAAAAAAATAACAAAAATTTCGAACGTGCTAAAAAAGAGTAAAAATTTTCTAAAAAAAATATTTCACAAATAATTTCATTCATTTCCGAATAATAAGTTCTGAAAATTTCATTAATATCCGAAAATTATTTGATTTTTGCTAGAATTTCCAAAACAAAGTTTTTTTTTTTGTTTTTTTTTTTTTCCACCTGGAAAAAGGCGCTAAATTTCCCACGATAATCATTGGCCCATCGCTGACGAGAGAAAATATACAAAATTCTGAACGTGCTAAAACGGATTAAAACTTTTAATAAAATAATCAAAAAATACTTTGGTCTTGCTTCTTAATAATAACATTTTGACTATAAAACATTTTTTCAGCGATTTTGCTATGCTCTTTCTTATGAAATATATTCAGAAAATTGAGTGTCCAAAGCTCAAAAAAATTAAATTTAAGTATTATTAAATTATCAAATTTAAGCATTATTAAATTTAAGCATTATCAAATTTAAGCATTATTAAATTTAAGCATTATTAAATTTAAACATTATCAAATTTAAGCATTATTTAATTTAAGCATTATTAAATTTCATACAGCTGTTATATATGCTACCTCGTTACTGACTACCTCGTCGTCAGCCAGCTCTAACTTAATTTAACTGCCTTCTGTCGTAAGTACGAGTCGTAATTTCATTTGACGTAAATGACATAGTTTTCTTTCGGGATGTCAAAAAACAAAGTTATTTTTTTTTATCGACACTAGTTATTTGTCGTCAAAAGCTACCGGAAGTTACTATATGAATATTTCAGGGTGTTTGGGTGTTAATCCGAGGACAGTGCAGACGATTCGGAAAGAGTTGAATGAGTTATTGATTACGAAGTTACCACCGCTTGGCAAACGTACTCTGATCGTTCTGATAAGAAAAGAACTGCCGAATTTGTTGGTGAAGGCCTCAGACACAACACAGATGCCGACATCAATTGCCTTGTGATTACGAAGGTGTTATGGCATCATTCATTTTCTCACAGGTCTTCAGACTCAACACGGAGGCCTACATCAAGTGCCATAAGGAGGTAGTGTTGCCCTGGGTCAAGAGGGTGGCTGCTGGAAGACACTATATAACTGGCAACAGGACTCTGTACCATGCGACACATGAAGAAGAACATGAAGAATTGGCTGTCAGACAATTTCTGCGACCACACCATCCATTACATCTGGCCACCTAACTTCCCAGACTAAAACCCTTTTGATTATTATGTGCGGAGCTCAGTTGAGCGAGAGACCAACAAAATTCCTTGTAACACCAAAGATGAACTGAAAGCAAAGATTATGGTAGCATTGACTAACTTAAACAAGAAGATCATCCAGAAGTGTTGCAGGAGATTCCGAAGTCTGTCGCTCATAATAATCAAAGGGCTGGCAGTCTGAGGAGTTAGGTGGCGAGATGTAAGAGGTGATGTGATCACAGACATTTCTGACTGCCATGACTGGGTTCTTGTGTGGCATGGTGCAGGGTCCTGTTGCAAGATATAGGGTCTTCCAGCAGCCACCCTCTTGACCCAGGGCAGCACTGCCTCCTCATGGCACTTGATGTAAGCCTCCGTGTTGAGTCTGGGTATCTGTGAGAAGATGAATGAGGGCATAAAGTCGTCATCACTAGTGATGACTCCAAACACCTTCGTAATCACCATTAGACTCATCCAGCTCATTCTGAATCTCTGCACTGTCTTCAGATTAACATCCAAACACTCATAGATGTAAGTACGCTACTGCATTTTCGGCTAAATGTCCATTCGATTAAATGTCTGTCGGTCAAATGTTCGAGAAGCGCTTTCTCTATCACTACAGCTTTAACCTCTTCATTCTAGGTAAAAACCCCTATATTTCACTCGTCAGTCTAGGGTTAACACTTATTTTTCACTTTTAAGTCTAGGGTTAACCCCTATATTTCACTCTTCAGTCTAGGGTTAACCTTATTTTTCACTCGCCAGTGTAGTGCTAAACCTTATTTTTCAGTCGTCAGTCTAAGGTAACACTTAGTTTTCACTCTTCAGTTTAGGTTAATACTTATTTTTCACTCGTCAGTTTAAGGTAACACTTAGTTTTCACTCTTCAGTCTAGGGTTAACCCTTATTTTTCACACTTCAGTCTGGATTAACCGTTATTTTTCACTCGTCAGTCTAAGATAACACTTATTTCACACTCTTCAGTCTAGGGTTAACACTTATTTTTCACTCTTCAGTTTAGGGCTAACCCTTATTTTTCACTCTTCAGTCTGGGGTAAACCCTTACTTTTTACTCGTCAGTCTAGGGCTAAACCTTATTTTTCACTTTTCACTGTAGGGCTGACATTTATTTTTCACTCTTCAGTCTAGGGTTAACCCTTATTTTTCACTTTTCAGTCTAGGGTAACACTTTTTTTTCATTTTTCAGTCTAGGGCTAACACTTATTTTTCACTCTTCAGTCTAGGGTTAACACTTGTCTTTCACTCTTCAAGGCCGTTTTTTTACGGGCGATTTTCCGAGCGCGTATGGCCGTAGACTCCGCAAAGACGGGTCCATGCAGCGGTTTACCTCCTCCGGTGAGACTCTGCCCGTAGGCATAGCTTCGTCTGGGTTCGACTAGCAAAGTTAACTGTAATCGTTAAATGCTCACTATTTACCCGAGACCACCTCACAAGGCGGGATTGGCACGAGGCGTTTTTTTTTTACGTAGGGCGTTCCGAGCCTGTATGCTCAGGAACAATTTGCCCATAGACTCTATATACACTGACGAGACTCTGCGCTTTGCATAGCCTCATCTGGGTTCCTCTCCGACGCCCAGAGTCAGAGAGGTCGACAAGGGGAGTTACCTGTAATCGTTAACTCCTCCTTATTTATCCGAGACCTCCCGACAAGGCGAGTTGTGTCACAAGGCTGGATTTTAAGGTGAGGAGTTCCGAGCCCGTAGGCTTGGGAAAAATTGCCCGTAAACCACGTATGCACGTGGTCGGGTAGCTATCTACCTCCCCAGACGAGAATCTTCCCTTTAGCGTAGCCTCTTCTGGGTTCCTCTCCGTCCAAAGGCAGAGAGTTGACAAGCAGAGTTAACTGTAATCGTTAACTCCTCGGTATTTGCCCGGGATCTCCCCACAAAACCGGTTTTTAACGTGGGGCGATCTGAGCCTATAGACTCGGGCAAAAATTGCTCATAGACCCCGTGTACACGGGGTCGACAAGCTGAGTTAGCTGTATTCGTTAACTTCTCTCGCTCAGTAAGAGAGAGTGTTATTTAAATAGTATTAGACCAGTCCATCTTGTGGTGGTGTTCAGCTACTCCACAACAATAACTCTCTAATTTGCCTGGCTCTTGTTCCTTGTATTTGGTAATCATTAGAACAGGGTACGGCAGAGATACCTTCTACATATGCTTCCCAGAAATACTTACCACATAATGGTAAGGCATTATTAGCAGTGGTGTCTTCATCTAGATAATGTCTAACAATGAGGTTTGTTTCTGGATGGTTAATGTGGGAGGTATTTCTGCCGCACCCTGTGTATAAGAAACGTATTTAAAAGCTCCTGGTCTCACATCTTTTTACACAAGCTTGTTTGGTAGCGTACTTGTAGTTTCCCTATGCCTCACTTGCTTTCAGTATGTCCCTGTGAGTGTCAAATTTTCTATGCTGTCTTTTCGAGAACTGACGTAGAAATGTCAACTTCCCCTTTTTGATGATAAGCAGAATTGTCTTTGATTACTATTTTCCTTAGAATGTGCTCTTTTGCTGAAGTCCAAGGGTCATATTAGAACTTACGATAAAAACTTTCTTTGGGTGGGGTGAAATTTTCACGGGATTTTTCGCCGAGACTAATAAATATCCCAAGCAGATATGTTTTTCATCCTCTGCACTAACAATTTAGCTTCTCCCGCAAGTCCATTTGCTTGATTCGAATAGTTATAATTGTATTATTACTGGGATTTAAAAAAAAATCCATTAAGTTTTTTGGACGGATAGGATTCATTCCGTGCTTAATTTTTATTTTCCGTTTCTCGTTTTGACAGTGCTCTCACGGTAACTATAATTTAAGAAGGTACTGACAGAATATAAGGAGAACCCTTCAAGGCATGGTTCGATGTAAATGGCGGAATGGTATCCGAAAGAACGAACGGAAACGAGGGAAAAACGAAAAGAAAATAACGATTAAAAAATAATAAAAAAAAAAAAAAACCTAAACGGAAATTACCGACCGGAAGGGCCACTTAAGTCAAGTCTCGTTAGAGATGCGTTCCGACATCTTTATTTTTCTATAAGGGTTGAAGATAAAAAAAAGAAGATGCTGAGAGAGAAAAAAAAATAAATAAAATAAAAATGGAAAGTATACAAATAGAAGAATTTATGGATATTTTATTCCACTTGAGAATTGGAGAATTCCCTTTAATTTTATTTTATGTATTCATTCTGTTTGCGTTCTTCGTGGAAGAATTAAGAGAAAAAAAAAGAAAAAAAGACGACGGCATGGAAGTGATGTCCTGAGGAAGAGAGGCTTTCGAGTCCGCCTTCCGAAAACCAGCTTTTTTATATGGTGGCCTTGAATAAAGGACAGATTGATACCGAAAGGAACGCCGGGAACGATTTCGTCGGGGGGGGGTTAATCAATAAGGAGAATGGAAAAATATGAATAGAGAGAGCCACACACACACACACACACACACACACACACACACACACACACACACACACACACATACACAC